TATGAGGTGAAGCTACTATGCTTCAGCATTAGAGTAGCCTCCACGCCAAACCCAGTGAAAACCTGTCTTAACAAACAACCCAATTACTTTTTTGCGTGTGTGTGTGTGTGTGTGTGTGTGTGTGTGTGTGTGTGTGTGTGTGTGTTTTCTTGGAACACATTGCTCATTATTTCTAAAATTTGTAGTTACAGAAAAAGTATGAAAACTTTGTGTTCATTGAACCACGGCTCCCCCCACCCCGTCTAAATACCTCTCTCTTTCTCCATCTCTGCTAACTAAATTAATGACAGACTCTCCAACAACACATTGCAATTTCACGCTCAATTTGAGGGGCACAAATAGTACAGTACATCCCCAAATTCATTCTCTTTCTTTTCTGTTTCTCTTGGTTTGCCTTTCTGCCTCTCTTTTTTTACATTTTCCCTCTCACATTAACACCTCCTTGCCTCTCTCTTGCCCTTGACTGCTTCCTGCTCCCCCATTTGTGAGGATTATGTAAATCAATTAATAAAATAACCAGTGACCCTGTACCCACTGCTTTCTGTTCCTTGTTATTTATTTCTCGCTCTCCTGTTCATTTCAGAGGGTTAAGTGGAGTGAATAATTGAATGGTGTGTTTTGGGTCGCATTGCTATGCTGCTCTTTCAGCAGCTTTGGTTACCAAAGAAAAGACTCTTGTTCAGTGTAGGCATATTTAAACCTGGAAAAAGTTACATGTTATATGCACAGGGGATATTTGTTTTTCGGACGTTTTCAGGGCAAACACAGGAAATATGACTTTTTCGTCTGCCGGGTGCGTCGGGAAGGGGCATAATTTTAGCTAAGGTCACGTAAAGTGTGGCTTTTCATTATGAACCATACTTAAGTAAACATATTTATGTATTTTAGGAGAAAATGTTAAATAATTCAAAGAGCACATATTAGCATGTGTCTTTTGTGCCACATTATACGGTTATTTCAGTCGGTGTATATTTTTTGGTTTGATGTTTTGAGGACAAGGAGACGTGGGATTTTGGTACCAAAATGCTAATACACAGGAAATGATAGCTGTATTACTTTATTTCACGCATTAGACCTCAGAGACCTCAGACATTACTAATTAGAATTAATATCCTATTTATTTAGATTTATTTATTTTTATACTACCTTTAATTGGACTGTCCAGTTTGCTTCCATACTGGTCTAGAGAGGCCTTTGCAGGATGTGCTCTTTTAGGTTTTTCTTTGAAAGCTACATATTCATTATATAAGACAAAGCAGTCAGTTTGAGGCAGTGTTAGGGACACTGCTTAATAAATACTTATTTAAAAACGTATTATTAAAATAATTAGAATGACACATTCCTCAAAGTACCACAGCAATAAAAATTATTTAGCATAATGTGTTAACAAACCACAGTGTACATGTTTAATGTTGATCAAAGGAGCTTGTAAAGAAAAGCGTCTGGACTTCTTTAAGTTACTTGAAGACGTTTCACCTCTCATCCGAGAAGCTTCTTCAGTTCT